AGCCGTTACAGAAACGGTTGGTAATGCACTACTTCCTTGTAGATTTTGTAATGTAATTTTACTGTTTATTGACTTCTTCGCACCGAGTGTGGTGGTAAGCCTGCGTTCATACTTTGCGTCAGCCTATGGCTGCGTTTTGAGCGTTTCGACTGCATGCCAGCGTCAGTGATTAGAAAAGTATGAATATCTGTCTACCGTACGCCAGCGTCCACCAGGAAAGGAGATTATGGAAAGTTGAAGGGTAGCAAACTGCTAGCTCATTCGTCATGAAATTGGGGTGTGCAACCGCACCGCACTACTGCTTAAGCGCAGAATTATTCAGTTCCTAATGTTCGATGTAGTGCAGTTGTACGGTGCGGTTGCAGACGTCGCTGTTTCACGACGCTTAATCCAGCAGTTAGCTACCTTCCTACTTCTTCATACTCTCCACTCGTGGTGGACGCTGGCTTACGCTAGATCGATACAAATACTCTCTTAGTTGCTGCTGCTAGCTCGAAACGTTGAAAGCGCCGTGCGCTGACGCAAAGTATGAAGATAGCCCTAACTTCGCTGTTGGTCAGACTGAAACTTAGCTCGGTTTCCAACCTAGTTTACGATGAAATAGAGTTCTCTCTTTTCTCCGCTTTCTTTTCTTTTCTCTTTTTTCTCATCTGGTGACTCTCGAAAAATGTTTTCGTTGTCCTGCAATATTCCTCCTCTTATTCAGGTAAAACAGTTCTATTTCTTTGACGCTGGTCCAATTCCACCTCCGGTTATCATGGTGCAGCATGTGTCGTTTCGGTATAGTGACACCACGGTAAATATTGATGTCCACCATTGGCTGTTTTGCAAGAGGGCATTTGAATAACCTAGTATTTGCAGCCATGGATCTATAGGAATATCGATTTTGGTATTGATCTCGATACTCGTGTAGCTTTGGTTGGTCCAAATGGAGCAGGAAAGTCCACTTTACTGAAGTTGCTTTGCGCTGATGTAATGCCCACAGATGGTCTCATTCGGCGACATTCCCATGTTAAAATCGGTCGATACCATCAGGTACAACTTTCATGCTGTCTCAAAATGAGGTACCGCTGTTGAGTGTACCAGTCATGCGAAGAATGAGCGGAGATTCTGTTATGTTCGGATGCACATTAAACACCGTTTATTACGATCTCAACCTCTTCATTTCACAATTATGAGTTCCTTTCGCGGTCTTTCACAACATATCT